GCTCTATAATGGATTCATATGACTCCATAATTTTTCTAAAATATGTTGAAATGAGACTTATTTATAGGCATACAATAATGTCAGGATATGACATGCTACACAGGGATGGATCGGGCCCGGTCTGGTTTCGTTTTTTTGTGTTTACTTATTTATTCCAAACCCCACCCCCAAACCCCTCGGAAACACCCAACCCAGCCCAAATCCAAATATATATATATATATATATATATATATATATATATATATATATATATATATATATATATATATATATAAAGCCCGAATCGGGCCCGAACCGGCCAGGCAAGTTCGCATTTGAGGAGTCCCGGAACCACCCCCTGGTTACTCCCCTCGGGTCGGGCCTAAGCCCAGTACCGGTACCGGTACCGGTCACCCGGGCCGGTCGGACCGGCTCCATGCCTATTAAAAGTTCACTATAATATGTTTGGTCACATTAGTTTAGGTTTAAATACTAGGGGTAACGAATAGTGTAGAAAAAATATGAAAGAGGAAATTAGGGGTGAACATATCGATTTTCGGTTTGGTTTAGTTATGTTTTGGGGCGAGAGAAAGTTAGGGGTGGACAGATAATGTCACAACCACTAATGTCTAAAATTAGGGGTGAGCATCGCTTTTCGGTTTGGTTTATATCAGTTTTGGTTCGATTTAGCTCTATTTGATTCAGTTTAGATTTGTTATTTTTTAATTACATATGAAGGTGTTATTGATTTTTTTTACTTTGGTTCGGTTTTATTCGGTTTTTCACGATTTCATTCGATTTGGTTTAATATAGTTTCAAAGATTTTCTACCAAACTCAGAGGCCGTTTGGTAACATTGTTTTTTGGCTTATCAGGTTTATTAGCCGATTTTTTCACCAAACACATAACTTTTGTTTTGCATGCTGAATTGTGTAATACTCCATAATAAGAAAAAGTAAGATTGAAATTACTTTTCTGGCTGTATTGGCTGAAGTTACTGTAGATAACCATTTTAGCTATTTTTACATATAATTTTTTTCAATTTTTTTATTAATAAAATATATTTTAAAAATAATTTTCTTAAATGAGCAGAATCAGTCAATGCAATCACTTCAGTCAGAACTTCATAAATTTCAGCAGAATAAGTCGAATCACCCGAATTTTGTGTTACCAAACGAACTCTCAGACCAAATTGCATATGATGCATTTCGGTTTGATTTAATTTTGTTTGGTATGATTCAGTTCGGTTAAACCAAACCGATATGTCTACTCCCATTTTTTTTATTTTTTTATTTTTATTTTTTTAAAACGTTAAATGCAATACTTGATTAAGTTGTCTGCCCAATTTTGATCTGGTCCGACCCGTTTTACTTGATTAAGCTGTCTACTCCCATTTTAAATCGTACATAATCATAAATTCAATCACTAAAATGTGTTAATATATTAACCACGGTAATTTTGGTTCACAGTCATTGATTTAGTTTACCATACCCACTATTTGTTTAGTTTTTTTCATTATATAATATTATCCAAATTAACTTTATGGATACTAGTTTTTCTTATGTGTGTTACACGGGATGTAATGTGTAGATATTATAAATGTTGATATACTAGTATTTGTACCCGTGCCGTGGACGGGATCAAATGATTTTTGTAGAATCATATAGTATTTATACATCAACATTCTATAATGTGTGCATGTTATAGAATTGTCTTTTACACATAGCCTAGCTTATTTATCTAGTTCTTAAACACAACTTTTAGCATCAAGATTTATGTTAATATTTAATATATAGACCAAAGTAAAAAACAACTTTTGCTTTCATAGACCCGATCAAATAATTGATTCCAATTCAAAATATCTTTAATTAAAATGGTGAACTCAAACATGAGATAACACTAAGGTAGATAGTATTTAGCAAATTTTAGCAAACTTAATGATTATTTCTTTAAGCAAAGAGTTTAGAATATATAATTTTGTGACATTTTGGTTGTACTAAAGGTGATGACGGTGAAAATAGGCTACATATAATATTATGATTGGCACTGATCAATTTATTTTTCATTAGATTGAGTCAGTGAAGATAATAAGATCTTATTACATAAAATAAGTGTTATTGAAAGAAGAAATGTTGCATTCTTTAGATTTTTAATAGACAATATCTAAAAGATCAGATGAGATGAATAAAATGTATAAAAAGATTCTCATCACCTCAAGAGGTAGCTATAATCAAAACATAAACCTGTGAAATCATCAAGTATTAAATATAAAACATCTACAACATCACAGTTATCATCAATGATCCCCATCATATTATATAATCATCAAAATTATTTCGTAGAATATACTCAAATTACCATATTTATCTATTATGAAAATAATTGTGCAGTTTTGTAATGAGACTCTAAACTAAAACTCTCGGTCAAAATATATCAAAATTATGTATGTAATTAATAAAACTTTTCAAGAGCTGAAACTCTCGGTCAAAATATATCAAAATTATATTAATATATACACTAAAATAAAAAATAACTTGTACTTTCATAAATGATATAAAAATTGATTCCAATTGTAATTTGTAAATATCCTTAATTACAAAGTTGAATATAAATTTGAGATACCATTCAGGGAAAATGTGTATTTACCCATTTTTAACACATGCAGTCTTGCTATTTTAATTTTTTCTACTTTCATTTAATGATGTTACACTCTTCTTCCCATTTTAGGAATTTATAATTTGAAAAGTGAGAAATAATATTTTGAGCATTCTTTGTAATGCATATATGGTGTGATATTATGATTAATAAAAAGCTATTATAAATTAACGTAAGTTACATGTATTCAAAATGTAAACCAAGTATTGATGTTTTGAAAATCTTAATTTTTAATACAATTTTTTTAATACAATTTAAATATGTATGAATATTAATATTTTTATTTTGAAAGTCAAATTTTCAGATACTCCGTATTTGATAAGAAAGATGCATATATCTATGGATAAAAATAATATGTCATTTCATTCTATATTTCTAATTAAAATAATTGAGTATGAATAGTGTCTATATAATTGATATGTTACTCACAAAGTTATATATGTTAACTTGCTTTTTTTTGGTATGGACTTATATATAGTATGATCCATATGATGATTTATGGAAATTTGAGTTTCAAGTATAGTGATATTATTAAAATTTTATGGGTGCAGTTTAAATATTGGAAAATCAGTACCACAAGTTATGCAATTCTATTTTAGCTCAATAATCTTGTTAAGAAGTTGGTGGCTTGGAATAATTAAACACATGTTACCTTTATTTAGAAACAATAACCTATAAAGTTAAATGAACTCATTGCATAAATTCATACATGAGTAGAATTCATATCCATGCTTTTGAAATGTTCTTAAGATTTATTTTTCTCAATTCAAAAAATTTAGTTTTTGGGGTTTCTTGTATAATTTTTAAGTCTTTGTGGTATTTTAGTACCAAATCATGTGTCATTATCTCAATTTTTGGTGGCATTAAAAAATTTACTCATGAATACTTTTAAAATTTGAATGATTAACTCCATAATTAGTCAATAAATTTTGTGTGTCCATCTCACTTCTGCTTGTATAGTGATTAACTCCATAATAAGCTAATTAAATCCAAATTTTACTCATGAATATAATATTGCTATGAGTGTTATTGAAGTATTTTATAATATATATATGGAATTCTAAGTTTTAGGAAGGACTCAATTTAAAATACTTTTATTTTATTTTTTGTCTGATTTGTCTGTTGTGATTGGATATAGTCTGATCTGGTCATGTCATATAATCTGAGCATTTTTAACTCTTTTTGAGAAACCGATTTACCTCATTCAACTAACCGTTCAGATGCAACATTTCAAAATTCAACTTTAGACAATAGTCTCTAGTTCAGACAGTAGTCCTAAATTCAGACATTAGCCTCCATCTACGTACATCTCGAAGTGCCAAACATAACCCCTAATCAATGAGCCCGTTTGATAACCCCAAACACGTAGTTTTGACTTTGCGCTAAATTAAGAAATAATCAAAATAATCCAGGTTGGAGTTACTTTTCTGGCTGAACTGGCTGAAATTGATGTAAAGCTTCATTTTAGCTATTTTGATGTAATTTTTTAAATTTATTAACAAAATATATTTTAAATATTTTTTCTCAATAATTTAACAAATGTAGCCAATTCAATAAAAATTTTATAATTTGAGCAGGTTTATCCAACTCAGCCTATCTGACTATCTGAGTTAACCCAACGGGCCGTATGCATCCAAATAGTGAATTGTTTTAAGCGCCCTCTAGAATTAGGGAAATCGCACTTCTAGTCCCTCAATCAGTTAATATATTGAAATGACGAACTCGTACTTCTGAGATTGTAAATGTCAATCCCAACTTGACATATGTGTTATAAATGTCATCCTCGTCGTTCATAATCCATCTTCAATCATGGACTACCAATAAATTTATCAGGAATATAATGACATTTTTACAACACATCTGTTAATTCGGTGATGAGCTCAATCTAAGAAACACGGCCTATAATTTTAACATGATGATTGAGGAACCAAAAGTGTGATTTTCCTCTAGAATTACTTAATATAACCCATGTAAGACAAATTTAACTTTTTTAATTTTCTTTTACTAAAAGTTCTCTCATCACATTCTAGCAACCTCAAACCTTTTTTTTTAATTCCCTAACGTATTGATGGAAAGTTGTCCATGTTTTTTTTTTTATTTCTTAATGTTCTTAAAATTTAATTTCAGATCTATAGATACCGAGAAACTTTTACATAAATAATGCGTAAAACATTATTGAGTTCTGGGCGGGGGCTTCGCCAAGGGGATCCTTTGTCTCCATATTTATTTTTAATTGTTTCAGAGGGTCTCAGTGCTTTGCTTCGTCATCATGAATCAACTGGGCGTCTTCATGGCATAAGGGTGGCTAGGGGAGCTCCTATGATATCTCATCTTTTTTTCGCTGATGATAGTCTCTCGTTTTTCAGAGCAACTCATGAGGAGGCAACATTGATCAATGAGGCATTAGCCGACTACGAGGAGGCATCGGGTCAGGTAATAAATTTTCACAAATCTAAGTTGTTTTTCAGCTCTAATGTTGGGGAGGAATGTAAATTGGGCTTAACTGATTTGTTGGGAGTCGGTACGGCCGGGACAAATGAGAGGTATCTTGGGATGCCTGCCCTCATTGGTAAGGGGGAGAAGGAAATTCTGGATTATCTCAGACAGAGAGTGGTAAATCGTATTCATGGCTGGAATAATAAATTTCTTTCTAAGGCAGGTCATGAGGTTTTGCTTAAAGCGGTGGTACAGGCAATGCCAACCTATGCTATGAACGTATTTCTACTGCCCATCGAGCTATGTAAAGAAATTGAAGTTGTTATGAACGGCTTCTGGTGGAAAGGAAAGGCGGGGACTGGGATACGTTGGAAGGATTGGACCGCTCTTAGCAAACCGAAAAGTTGTGGTGGCTTGGGATTTCGGAGGCTTCGGGAGTTCAATTTAGCCATGTTGGCCAAACAATCGTGGCGTCTCTTCAACCACCCCAAGTCTCTTGTCGGTAAAGTCTACAAAGCCCGATATTTCCCCAAGGGTGATTTTTTGTCAGCCAAAATTGGAAATAACCCTTCTTTCATATGGAGGAGCCTTTTCCAAACACAGGATATTATCCGGGAGGGATATAAATGGCGAGTTGGTAATGGGAAGTCGATCAATATTTGGGATGATCCGTGGCTTCCAGATCAGGCTAATCCTATGGTTACTACGGCTCTAGCGGCTGGCCTTTCTCAAGCAACTGTAGCGACGCTACTTGATGAGTCCGGGAATGCTTGGGATGAGGATATACTAACTGATATCTTTGTTGACCATGATGCTTCCCTTATTCGAGGCATCCCTGTTAGTTTTAGACAGGTTCCAGATGTGAGGCAATGGAGATGGGAGGAGGACATGCATTTTTCTGTACGGAGCTGCTACAAGAAGATTGTCGGGGAGCTTGACTCTTCTGATTTGACAGGCTGGACCAAGATGTGGTCCTGGAAACTTCCCCCTAAACTTAAAATCTTTTTTTTGGCAGGTATGTACTGGGTGCTTGCCCACGAAGGATATTTTACGAGCCAGAAGAGTGAACTGCTCAGGAAGGTGTGGCTTGTGTGGTGACGAGGGGGAATCCATTCTCCATTTATTTCGGACCTACTCTGTTGCAAAGGAAGCATGGAGGGTGATTTCTTGGAGTTGGAGCAGAATTATTACAAGCAACTTCATGGGGCAAGTGCAACTAGAGTTCCAAAGCAGACGAAGGGAGGAGCTCGAAAAAGTCATTTGGGGATGCTGGGCTTGATGGTGTGAACGGAATCAGCGTCTCTGGCAGAACTCTTTTTCGAGTGCAGGTCAGTTCATGTTGAAAGCTCAAACTTTTGTTTTGGGGTGGGCTCGAGCTCAGAATGATCGCAGAGGGAGATTGCAGGAGAGCTGCAAGGCCAAGCCGTTCTGGTGCAGACCATCAGTGGGACGACTGAAGTTGAATGTTGATGCGGCGGTGCGGGAAGACAAATGTGGGCTCGGTTGGTGTCTCCGTGATGCGGCTGGAAGCTTTGTGACAGGGGCAGCAAAACCTCGGACGGGGAGACTCTCCTCTCTGGAAGCCGAACTTATTGGAATTATGGAGGCTTTAAGTTGGTTACAGGGGACGGATTGGAAGATAGTTGATGTTGAATCAGATGCTTCCCGTGCCATTATGGAGATTACGAGGGGTTCCAGCTGCTCTTCGTATGGTTTGGTTGCTGATGACATAAGAGATATTGCGAAGAATTTTTCTAGCATTTCTTTCTCTCATATCAGGCGGTCAGCGAATAGGATAGCTCATGAGCTTGCTAGAGCAGCCTGTTCTATGTCTGATTTGCATTCTTGGTTTTATTATATATTACCCGTTGTTTTTATCTTCTGTCCTGAACAATGATTTAATCAATGAAAGCTAGATATTCCCTTTGCAAAAAAAACATTATTGAGTTCTAATCGAACACGAAACAATTCCCTTAGTTCAAAATCATGTTTTTAAAATTATCGGAAAACGTTATTTAAAAATAATAAGATTTTTAAAACTGCTATACTTGTTTTAAAATAAAGTGCATGTAATTTAAGTTCACTAATAAAATATAAAAAATAAAACTAATAAAATAATAGTTGTAAATAACTCTTAAAATATTCATATATGTTTAAGTCTAGAAAATTTCAGTCATATTAAAAATATTTCTATTACTCGAATAAGTATTATTATTAATTATTAATAGGACGTTAGGATGTTTTTTGAATTACGTTGTTCAACTCCAATCTAACTTTAGCAATTTTTTAGATATTTGGAATTACGTATATATGTAGGATTGCAACATGGTAGCTTCGTCTTAAATTAACCTAACGTCAATTCTAATCTAATTCAAATACTATTGTAACGTACGAAGTATAATTAATTAATATACTAAATTAGAAAGAAAATCTAAAATATGATCATGAATGTTTGCTTAGAAGACGACCCATGACAAAACTTTTCATAATTGTATATTTGAAATGTATTATCTATAGATAGATAGATAAACCCAATTTTAAATCATACTCCGTATTACATAGAATGAGAAAATCGCAGATAAGTTATAACATCAGACTCATTATAAACACACAAACTAAAAATTATTGAAGGCTTTGTATCCACATTTTGTAGTTTTTGGTCCCTTCCTCGTCAGGACAAGATAAACTTATTGTTTTATACGGTAAGGATGATCCACGAATAAATGCCCATAAATTCGAAAGATTGCTCTTGATTCTTGCTCATTTTCATTATACACAAACTCAGACAAACATCCATTCATTTTGATCTGATTCATTTCTAATTAACCACTGACACTTTTTCACATTCCTCGTGTAACATATGTGTTGGGTGTGTATTTCAGCTCAGGTCTCCAACCAGAACAACTCACACACACCACCCCAGGATGTTTAGCCACTCCACCACTCACCAAGTTTAGCCCACTCTATTCTCACCTCTCTAGCTATCACTCACTAAACTGCCTCACACTCACTCACACTTCACGCACAGGAAAGAAGAGGAGTTTGTACGCCACACACATTACAAAGGATAAGAGTCAACTCTTATAGCAAAGGAAAAATGTCTTACTAATCAACTATAAGAGTAAGACAAACCAAGGGGAGCCCAACAAAGGCAGTGGATAGAATAGCAACGGGCAGAACAATAACAAGGCCATGTGATTAGGTAGTGAACAAATTCAAGAGGAATTAATAGGAGTACGGCTAAACTTAGGGTGCATGCCTTAACACAAATAAGTGGAAGGGAAGTCTTGGTAGGACCAACACCTCCAACAATATGTGTTTGAAAAAAATAAGGGAAAGAAAGAGAATTTGTATTAAATATGTGCCATATTTATGAGTTATATTAATTTAGAATTTGATGTCATGTATAAAAAGCTGAACTCTCACAACGAAAAGGAGATATTATTAAGGAAAAATTGATAAGAATAATCTAGCCTGCGTCAAATAATCCTACCTATGTGTTATCTGACATAATCCCTATTATTACAATTTATTCTCAAATTACTCCCGGTGACTTGTATCAACTGGTGGTAGGCAGTAATTGCAAAAAGCAAATGTAGTTAAAACAAGTCTTTGAGATCTAAGGTCTTCCAGTCCTTTTAAATCATTCTCCATCACACATAAGCATCTGCCCCTCCGTTCCTTTTTGATATATTTTCAGAATTTCAGATTCCTCAATTTCTTAATAAGAATGACACATTGATTTAAAAAATTCCTCTCATGTAATACTACTGATGTCGCGTCAAAAACTTTTCATTGCAAAATGATACAGATTTTTTTTTAAAAAAAATAAGATCAGATCAGTCGTAGCAGATTTAAACAAATCAGATCAGACTAAATTAGACTTGCATAGTTATAATAAAATACGCAGAGACCAGACATTTGTCAGATCAAACGAGGTCAGACCAGACCAGTTCAGCAAATTTCAATCCAACTATCCAAGTAAAAACATCCTAATTCTGGTCTAGGTCAGGTCAGAATTCAAGATAATCGGTCTGGATTAATATTTGATTGAATATTAATTTTCCTGTAAATCATATCCAATTTAAAAATTTTGACATTTCTAACAATCCAATTAGAGTTTACTCGTTTAACAAATTTAAAGTGAATTAAATCTAAGTTAACTCTTAATACATATTATTTAATTATGGTCCAACCCATCCAGACCTAACATTTCGGATTTGGAGAGGGATAGACCGGATGGTCACCAGAATCGAAATTCTTAAAAATTGAATCGAAGGCTGAACTAGACTGGTAGGTAAAATGTTTGGGTTCGATTTTTCGGTCCTGGTCAAAATGTGCTCAGCCTAATTGTGAGCGATGTTTGGTAAATGACGTTTCATCCAAAAAATGACAGCTTGATCAATTTTAGCTTCTTCAATAAGTGAAAAAATTGTTTGGTAAATAGCTTTTCGGCACTAGCATTTTTGGACGGAAACACTGAAATGGAAACGCTGCAAATAGTAGAGTTTTTGAGTTAGCGTTTTGAAATATGACGTTTTCTACTAATTCTATGGCTAAACAACTAAATTACCAAACATCTTCAGACAACCCGCCAATTTATTCCGCCAATCATGCTAGCTGGCTGAATTCGCTATTGACTACCCGTTAACAAAATCCGATATCCACTAACTGCTAAATGCTAGACACGCCCCGTATCTAACATAGAAATAATTTTTCTTTTATCCAATTTCATGAAACGTGTTTTTCTTTTTGTAATTTTGGAAAAATAATTTAATCATACTTTTAAGCTTTTCATGGAAAAATAAATTAATTTTGGAAACAAGGAATTATCCAGTTAGAATCATTCCAATGATTAATCTAAATTTAACTTCTTTGACGAATTTTTAACTTTCCTGCTCTCTTCTCTCTAGGGTTACCGACGGGTAACGTCTAGTCTTTGTCCCCCGCCGGTTAGCCTAGGAGGTCTCGGCCGCCGTCGGTTGCTGTGTGGAGTGCGGTTCTACTCTCGAGCTCTTTGGGGCTTCGTGTGGTTGGTGTTTTAGTCTCGGTGGAGGAGGCCTTCGGCGGCAGCAGGAGCTTCGGCGATTTCGGCGATTTCGGCGATTTCGTCACTTCGCCTTCCACAAAGGCTTCTTGTTGTTGCAGGGGACAGTTGCTGCTAGGCGAGGAGATCGTGCGGGTGATTTTGGGCAGCGAATGGAGAGCGTTGTTGACAAATACAAAAACGTGGTGATTGGGACGGAGGAAGAAAATTTGGATCCTGATGGTTTGGATGCGGATGAAGTTCCGGTGGAGGAAAGCAGTCCAGAGTTTCCGGTTATATGCGTAATTTTGACAGACAGGAAAGTCAAATTTCCAGCCTTCAAAGAGCTTTTGGCTTCGTTATGGAGACCAGGGAGAAGGATGACGATTAAAGAACTTAGTGAGAAGGTATTTGTTTACTTTCTATCATCGATTTGATATGAATCGTGTGCTTGAAGGAGGTCCTTGGCAGTTTGAGCGTAATTTGTTAATGTTAAAAGAGGTTAAACCTGAAGATATTCCACATAAGATTATTTTAAATGAGGCTGATTTTTGGGTTCAAGTTCATAACGTTCCCTATAGCCTCGCTAATTTAGGTACTGCAAGGAGGGTTGATAATTATATTGGACAGTTTATAAAATATGATGATAATTAGAATAGTGAGAAGTGGAGGCCATATATGAGAATCAAGGTGTGTATGAATGTTGAGAAATCTTTGAAAAAGGGTACGAATCTAAAAAAAGAAGGGAAGAGTTCTTGGGTGGACTTCAAGTATGAGAGGTTGCCCAATTTCTGTTTCATATGTGGTTTAATTGGGCATTCAGATAAGTTTTGTCCTGTGAACTACGAAGAAGATCTAGTATTAGAGAAAAACTTTGGGCTCCATCTTAGGGCAGGGAGCGGGGTGAAGACTAGCCCTACAGGAGGTGACAGGTGGATACTGGAAGGTTCATTGAGCTCTGGCTGAAAGGCTGAAGGGGGGTGGGATTTGTTTCTGAATCATAACAGAGTATAACTAAAGAAGGGGGAGCGGAAACAAAGGAAGAAGTTTCGGGGGAGCAGAAGAGAAGAAGGGTCTGGGAAAACCAGAGCGGAGACAAGATTGGGGAAGATGACATGGCTCTTGATGGGACAAAAAGCGGGGAAGGGGCATGCTTCACTCAGTAAGCTCGCCAAAGTTGCTACGGTCAGGCTGGATGAAGAATGCTCGGGTGTTCGTGCGGATCGGCAACTCGGACAGAGGCTCCATTTTATTTGCATTATTTTTTTCATTAGTGACAATTTTTTCTTTGGTGTGTTGTTTTTCATGTTTAATGTTTTTCCCACTTGTAAGACGTTGAATTTGGATGTGGGTGATGGAAGAAATTGGTAACCGTCTTTTTGTCGGATTACCCATTATCTAAATGTTGGATTATCAAATTAAGCCTATATCTTCCGAAAAAAAAAAGGAATTTTCTAGTTAATAAATGGTCCAGCCTTTTCATGTTATTAACATCGAAGTTAGCCAGTTAACATTGCAGAATTTGTTCGAAGCATATGGATGATTTTTATGGCCTTCTTCCTTTCTTTTAGCCCCCGTTTGCTTCAAAAGAGGGGAGGGAATGGGAGAGTAAAGGAGGAAAGGGGAAGGAAGGAGAAGAAAGGAATTTAACAAGAATTTTTGTTTGGTTGGAGAAAAAGGGAGGAAGGTTTAATTGAATATATTTCCTAATTTACCCTTTTTGTGAATGATTTACCCTTGTTTGATACTGTAACGCCCGTACTTTTTATATACTTTTTATGTGTTTAAATAATCAACATGATCACGTTTTGACTCATGGTTTGAGTGCTATACATGTGAAGAATAAGGATATTATGTGATTATGAATTTTGTGATAATTGTACTTGAACTTACTTGCTTGTATTATGT